ATGAGGTCAGAGTTCATCATTGCTTTAAAATGGGGAAACTGAGGCAGAAGTTTACTAACTTATCCAAGGGATTTTGCTGATGAGAGGCAGTTCTAGGATTGAGTCTTAGCCGGCCTTTCTCATTTCTTCAGGAACCTATCATCTTTGGAAGATAATATTATCTTCTAAACTTGCTTGACACATAGCCAAGCCACCTGATATTGCTCTTTACAATAACGAATATAGCCAGGCATGGTGGCACACGCCTGTGATCCTTTTGTATTATCTGTACTCACAACCCTTCTGACATAATATATGTGGGGTGTTTCTTCCTACCAACCAATTCTCCAACTTCCCAAACAACAACTTGGTGACCTACATTCAATTCAGTTCCGACACTACCTGGAGCTAGCACAGACCCCAGAGGTAAGGGCTCAGCCCCACAAGTCTTCCCTCCTCTTCTGACACCAGTCAGCAAGTCTAGGGCACACAAACTTCTGAAGGACTGGTTATAAAGTCCAAGGGTCTCCAACCCTTGAGCTAGAGTAGCTCACAGAACTCAGATAAGTGCTTCACGTACTATTACCAGTTTATGATAAAGGATAAAATTCAAGAACAGGCAAAGATACTCAGCAATAAACAAGAATAAAATCATGGCATTTGCAGGTAAATGGATGGAGCTGGAGAATATAATGCTAAGTGAAGTTAGCCAATCCCCAAAAAACAAATGCTGAATGTTTTCTCTGATATAAGGAGGCTGATTCAACATGGGGTTGTGGGGGTGGCGGGCATGGGAAGATTAGACAAACTCAGATAGGGCAGAGGGGTGGGAGGGGAAGGGGGGTAGAAAAGATGGTGGAATGAGATGGACATCATTACCCTAAGTACATGTATGAAGACACGAATGGTGTAAATATACTTTGTATAAAACCAGAGATGAAAAATTGTGCTCTATATGTGTAGTATGAATTGTAATGCATTCTGCTGTCATATATAACAAATTAGAACAAAAGATTTAAAAAAAAGAACAGGCAAAGAGAGAAATGCAGAGGGCAAGAGATGGGGGATGATGCACAGAGCTTCTATCTCTCTCCAGGCACGCCACTCTCACAGAATCTCAATGTGCTTACCATCTGGAAGCTCTGAAACCATCGTTTAGGATTTTCATGGAGGTTCCATTCTGTAGGCATGACTGATTAAAGCATGGGGCCCCTGCTGATTAGCTCATCTCCAGTCCCTGTCACCTCCCCAGAGGTTGGGGGGTGGTGCAGAAAGTTCTTACTTCCTAATCATATGATTGGTTCCTCTGGCCATCAGTCTCCATCTGAAGCAGCTATCTAGGGGCCCATCACAGGCCACCTCATTAGCAGAAACTCAGATATGTTGAAAAGAGCTTATTTTGAATGACAAAAAAAAAGTTCCTATCATTATCACTCAGGAAATTCCAAGGGTTTCAGCTCTGTCAGGAACCTAGGACAAAGATCAAATACCATTTCTTATTTTCACACTCTTGCCTTAGGACTTGGATACTTTTTGGTTTCCCAGCACAGAACACTTCCCTGAAATCTGAATCATTCAGGTCTCTGCTCAAACCTTACTTCCCCTGCAAAGCATTCTCTGGCCACGTACTTAAATAGAATCTTCCTCCCCACCTATGCCCTTTTTTTTAAATGTCCCTATCATGATTTATTTTCTTCCCAGCACTTAGCAGTTCCTAAAATAACAATATTTGTTTACCCCCCTTTCTTTTCTCCATCTCCTACTAGCATATAAATTCTTTGAGGGCGGGGTCTTGCTCTTACCTGGCTCCCCAGGGCCTAGTATCCCTGACACATAAAAAAAAAAAAAAAAAGGCTGGGACTATAGCTCAGTGGCAGAGCGCTTGCCTAGTATGTGTGAGGCACCAGCTTCTATCCTGAGGACCACATAAAAATGAAACAAATAAAATAAAGGCATGTTGTCCATAAAAAAAATTCAGGGACTATATTCCCATTGAGGCAGGAGGATTCCTTGAGCCCAGGAATTTGAGGGCAGCCTGGGTAACATAGTGAGTCCCTATTTCTTAAAAACAAATGATGATTTGTTGAACAAATGATGATAACACAAGGATGATATCTACATTAGGGCTAGGAGTGCAGCTTAGTTGTAGAGTGTATGCTTAGCATACTCCGGGCCCTGGGTTCAAGCCCCCGCACCAAAACAACAAAAACCCCACCTACATCAAAGGGTGTTGAAAAAGTACACACAGAGGGATATAAAGTGCTTAATATAATTCCTAGCACATAGTAAGCTCAATGACATTGGCTAAGGCTATTATCAAAGGAATCCAGAAGAACATGAGGTTAACGTGGGCCAGAGCAGTTACAGAAGGTATCAAGAAGGGGGCAGATCATGTGCTTGATCTGGAAGAATGAGGCTTTGTATTTTTTTTCCCTCTCTCTAAGTTGGGACACTGTAGAAATTGTTAAGTGTCTCCTCTGCAGAAGCCATCACTCCCCAATGTAGGCTGTCTTCACATTCCAGATCAAATGCAGTCTCCAGGGGCTGGGAGTGTAGCTTAGTGATAAAGTACTTGTACAGCCTGTGTGAAGCACTGGGTTTGATTCTCAGCACCACATAAAAAAATAAATAAAAATAAGCCAGGCACTGTGGTGCACACCTGTAATCCCAGTGGCTTGGGAGACTGAGGCAGGAGTATCGTGAGCTCCAAGCATCTTATCAAGGTGCTAAGCAACTCAGTGAGACCCTGTCTCTAAATAAAATACAAAATAGGGTTGGGGATGTGGCTCAGTGGTTGAGAGCCCCTGAGTTCAATTCTAAGGACCCCAAAAAACAAATTAATTAAATAAAGGTATTGTGTTCATCTACAACTAAAAATAAAAGTAAAAATAAAAGAAAGAAAACCTATAAAAAATGCAGTCTTCATACCGTAAAGAATCATCTACTGATCAGCATCTCTCTGGCTTGACCATCCATTAATCCACTTTTCTTTCTTTTCTACACCAGAGACTAGATAAATTTCACTTCTAATGGTCCCTCAATAATATTGTTAAATTGATTAATTTCAGAGACCTATAGAAAAGAAGCAACCCAGGGCTGGGGATGTGGCTCAAGTGGTAGGTAGCATGCCCACCTAGCATGCATGAGGCACTGGGTTCGATTCTCAGCACCACATAAAAATGAAATAAAGATGTTGTGTCCACCTAAAACTAAAAAAAATAAATATTAAAAGAAAAGAAAAAAAGCAACCTACTCTTTGGTCCAGCAATCTAGGCTTTTGTGTCTATCCTAAAGAAATACTCAAGAGTCAGCATTAGTTCAAGTATAAAGATCATGTCCACTTGCACATGCGAATGTGTGTGTGTGTGTGTGTGTGTGAGAGAGAGAGAGAGAGAGGGAGAGGGAGAGAAGCAACCAGAATGTCCACCTGTAAGAGAGCAACAAACAACGATGCACCTACCCTGTGCAGAGGCTAAATGAAGACAGACACTTCATAAAACAATCTCCAAAATATTGGGGAAAAAAAGTTGGAGAATACACAGCATTTGATTTTCATTTAGGTAAACAAAATATTTTAAAATAACACACACAGAAACCTACCACACTGAACGCATTACTTACATAAACTAAAATGAATTCAAAATAGCTGCATTTTAAAAAAATCCCAGGACTTGAATATAAAGAGATTATATAACATAAAGAGATTCAGGCATTGGACTGTGACTAACTTCCCCAGGTAACTAATTTTGAACTATTAGGGCAAATCCACGCTCATTTTACTTCTCAGGCATCAGACCCCTTAACAGCATAGATTAACAGAAACGTGCTGGGTTTGCAACGTTCTCTAACACCTGTGGACAGCACGCCCTTTCTACACAGTGCTTTCCTCCCAAACCACGACCCCGCTAGCGCTGGGCTCTGGAGAGCGCTTGCTCTTCCTGGGCACCCGGAGGACTGAGGCACTGGAGGAAGAAAGCTCTCCAGGTAGATGTGTGCACACGTTGTCGGAGAAGGAAACTTACTTTCCGACTAGCCTCTTCTCTGGCTGTAATCTGTCTCTCCTGCTCAGGCATCACCCCCCGCAGACACCAATTTCTTCTCAGATCCGGCCCGGAGCCCAAAGGTCACCTGGTTAGGGAAGGGCGAGAAGAGCCTGTTAAAATCCAGGAGGAAGAGGAGTGGGTGTGAGGGCTTCAGTCCGGCTCGACTCTAAGGAAACCGTCTCTTCGCTTTGAATCAGGGGATCCGCAACACCAAAACTGTAGGTTAAAATTGAGCGCCGCCGTGTCCCTAACTTGGGAGCGCAGGGATAAGAGCGCGTGGGGAGCGTGGGCCTCCGACCTTCACTCACACCCAAGCCCGCACCGCAGGGCGAAGACCTGTCCTGACTCCCTCCTAAACTACCTCGGACCGATGCACTCAGCACTAGGTCTTCAGATCTGCGCCTGTGCTGGAGATGAAGGGCTGGCGAGTGGTGCAGTCCCGGGCCAGAGATGCAGATGCCCCGGGTTCGCCCAAGGCCTGGGGGACGGTTCGTCCTGGCGGGGTGTCGGATCAGCTCCGCTCAGCCCCCTCTCCAACTCCGCGCCTGGCTCCTGGGCTCCGCGGATCTCAAATGCAGCAATCGCTACGGGAATGGACTCTGCACTCGGAAGATTGATCCGTGAGCTGCAAGGGCCTCCCATTTGGTCGCCAACCGGCCGCGGGTTTGGGACTGAGGGCAGGGGCGCCCCGGCAGGGGCTTCCAGTGGGGGAGGGGCCGAGGACCTGAGCGCCGGCTGTCCGTCAAAGGCCACGCCCCCACAGCCCACCTCCCACTACGGTGCCGCCCATGGGGGCCGGACCCGTTTGCGCCACGCCAAAATCTCGTTTACTCCTCGGCCATTCTATTGGCTAAAAGGCCGTGGGAAGCTGCTACCGGTAGCCAATTGCAATGCACAATTGGCCCGCGAGGGCCAGAGGAGCGCCTCAAGGTTCCTCAGTAGCCAATAGGGAAGAGGAACGGCCAAGCGCTTCCTGAGTTCGGGGGTCGGCCGAAGATGGCGGCCTCCAAAGGGGGTTGGTGCTTGTGCGAGTTGTTGAGGTGAGGAGCGGGTGCTGTGGGCTCGAAGGGCTACTTGTCGGGTGGTGACACTTGGCTATCCAGTGCCGCTAACGTTTGCGGGAGAAGGGCCACCCGTGTCATGGATGTAGGCTAATTTCCTAGGACTTAGGGTATTTTCTCAGGCCAGTGAGCGGTTTTCCCCTCCCTGTGGGGTCTCTCAGGTTGGAGCAGACTGAGTCTAAAGACTCAGTTTACCGCAGTTTTTTCGCCTGTGTCCTTGTGGCTGAGGGGCATTCCTTCCCTGTTTCAACTTTTTCTTTCTTTTCGCAATCCAATAACTCTGTCATGGTACTTATATGTGCATTACTAATTTTCCCTTATGATTGAGCCGTGAGTGATTTTCCAATCTATCATGTTTCTCTCTTAGTTAAAGAAATCAATTTCCCTCCACTCCGTTTCTGTCTCCCCCCAATTTTGGTACTGAGAATTGAACCCAGGGACGCTTTGCCATCCGTTGATTTAGTGTCTCTGTTGTAAAAATACTTATATGAAAATATTACCCTTATTGTAATACACATTATCGTTTCTCCCAAAGAAAAGTTAGGAAATAGAAAAGTAAAGGAATGCTACCATCTGGTGATAAACACTCTTAATATTTTGGTGAGAAAACACTTTTCTCCACCTTTGTTATGATATTGTGATATAGTAAATGCCTTACTCTGCACTGATTAAACTGAAGACCTACGGTATGCTACTACCTAGTCAGGTTGAATATTTATAATTAACACAATATATACCTGAATAGCAGTATGTGCATATTCTCAACAAAACTCTGGTATTTCTTCTTCATTTTTGTCCTACTTCAAGTTCTATAATTATTTAAAACATTCTGAATGGGAAAGTATATTCTCAGAACTTTCATGTTACCTACCTGCCTTATAAATGTCTGCTAAATGAGTGACTCACTATTGATTACAGCCACCTTTTTTTAAGCCTTTTGTCTAAATATGGGCAAACATTATTTAGTACTACATATTTTAATTATATGTAAATCCTAAAATGAATAATTCTAATGTGCAAGTACTGTATGGTGTTTAATAAATTTATTTATAGAAACTGTAAGTGTATCTTTGAAACTAATATACTCAAAGGACTGGCTTAATTTTAATTATTAGCATGATTCTGAATCTGATTTAAGTTAAATGGTTCAATTTGAAAGGCCTATATGTAAAACTGAACCATTTGAAGGAATTGTCATAAAAAAAAAAAAAATCTTTAGATTCTCTGAGTCGTTTACATTATAAGTAAAACAGCCTTTTGAAAGCTCTTCTTAGGGAAGCAGACTGTCCTATATAGAGTTGCTTTTGTGAACTCATACATTCCAACTCATATATTCTTAAAGTGACAAGTAAGATTTGTCATTATTTAACATTTAATCATTTAAGGTGGTGGTTCAAAGTGTGGTTCATAGATCCATACAGATTCAAGATTCTTTCAGTAAGTCTTCAAGGTCAAAATTGTTTTTGTAATAATGTTAAAATAGCAATTGCTTTTTTCAGTATGTTGACATTTATACTGATGGTACAAAAGTAAGTGAGTAAAACTGCCCTAGTACAAATCAAGGCAGTGAATGCCAAACTGTAGTAGTTAGTCCTTGTGTTTTTTAGCACTTGCAAAACCCAGTTTTAATTAGGAATATCAGTGATGAACTGAGAGCCATGGCACATGCCTATAATCCCAGGAACTCAAGAGGCTGAAGCAGGAGGATTACAGGTTTGAGGCCAGCAATTTGGTAAGGCCTTAAGCAATTTAGCAAGACCCTGTCTCAAAATAAAAAGTTAGAAAAAAGTCTGGGATCCAACTCTGTGGAAAAGTGCCCTTGGGTTAAATACTAGTACCAAAGAAAAAGAAAAAAAAAATCTTTGATTAAATAGTAAAAGTTATGAATTTTGTTAAATCATAACCCTTGAATACATATATCTTTAATATTGTATATAACAAAATAGGGGGTGGGGAGACACATAAAGCACTTCTGTACTGCTATATGGTGGCTATCTCAAGGAAAATCAGTTTGTTACATAATCATCTAAGCTGAATGCTGAATTAGACACTTTATGGGAGACCATTTTTACTTGAAAGACGGACGGATAAACTACCAAGTCACAATGCTACAAAATGGAGAAGTAAAAGATCCACTGAATCCTGGGTTCAAATAATCCTCCTACCTCAGCCTCTTGAGTAAGGTGGGACCCCAGATTCAGGCCTCTTGGCCTGCCTAGAATTTTCAAAAAACAAAAAAGTAGGAGGGGTAGGTCTTGGGTAGAATGTCTGAGATCCTAGGTTGAATCTCCAGCACCATAAAAGTATTTCAAGTATTTTGTTAGCAGGCTTGCAAACTACAAAAATTTTCTTTGCTACCAATACATAAAGTAAATATGTAAAATTTTTTTTAAAATATGGGCATCAGATGAATTTTCACCTTTTCCTTCTTATTTCAGGTTGTTTTATTCATTATTCTTCCCTGGGCTAATTGTATGTGGAGCTTTATGTATATGTTTGGTTATTGTCCTTTGGGGACTCAGATTACTGCTACAGAGAAAGAAAAAGTCAGTGTCAGCCAGCAAAAATGGGAAAAATCCAACAGTGATTGCATTTTTTCATCCATACTGCAATGCTGGTGGAGGAGGGGAAAGAGTTCTATGGTGTGCCTTGAGAACCCTGCAGAAAAAGTAAGTATTCATCATGTTTAGCAAATTTTCTATATTGTTGCCATTTCTAGAAAAAAATATTACTCAGAAATTCCTTTCTCCTGTACCTTATTCACAGCCAGGAATTTCTCTTTTAAACTGTTCTTTAATATTAGAGAATTTTTCTCTCATTTGCTCACTTGCTTCATACAGTCCTGTTGAATTTTAAACCAGTGCCCCCAACGTGCCTATGGTCCCAGCTACTGTAGAGGCTGAAGTGGGAAGATTGCTTGAGCCCAGAAGTTGGAGGCTGGCCTGGACAATGTAGACCTTGTCTCAAAAAAAATCTAAGCCAGGAACAATGGCATATGCCTGTAATCCCAGCAATTTGGGAGACTGAGGCAAAAGGATCACAAGTTTGAGACCCTAAGCAGTCTAGTGAGACCCTGTCTCAAAATAAAAAATAAAAAGGGCAGGAATGTAGCTCAGTGGTAAGGCACCCCTGAGTTCAATCCTTAGTACCCAAAAATGTACCTAGCTTTAAAAACATGTTTGCATTTCCCAGAAACACTTTGATCCTATATGAGGACATGTTTTTTAAATTTTAATTTATGTTTATGAGTATTTTATTAATATTTCAATACTATTTTTATATTGAGAATGTTGTCAAAATGAGTTGTTGTATTTTATTTGCACTGTCAGGGATTGAACTCAGGGCATCACACATAATAGACAAGTACTCTACCTCTGAGCTATACCCTTACTCTGTTAAAATAAAATGTTTTAATATTTCCTTAAAAAATAGAAATTTCTCATTAAACCCTTAATAGAAGAAAGAGCAAAGAGCTAGAAGACAGAGTGTCTTAGTCTAATTGGGCAGCTGCATGCAAATATTTTAGACTGAGTAATTTATAAAGAACAGAAATATATTGCTCACGGTTCTGGGAGCTGGGAAGTCCAGGATCAAAGCACCAATAGCTCTAGTGTCTATGGAGAGCTCACTCTGCCTCATAGATGGCTGCTTCTTGCTGCATCCTCATGTGGCAGAATGGAAAAATGGGTTCTTTTAGGCCTTCTTTAAAAAGGCCCTTGGAGGGCTGGAGTTGTGGCTCAGGTGTAGAGTACTTGCCTAGCATGTGTGAGGGCCTGGGTTCAATTCTCAGCACCATATATACATAAATAAAATAAAGGTCCATTTACAACTAAAAATTATTTAACAACCAAAAAAAAGGCACTTGAGGGTGGAAGTAAAGTGTGTGCTTAGCATGCACAAGACTCTGGGTTTAATACCCAGCACCAATAAATGGAGAAATAAAGGCATTAATCTCATTATGAGGCCCCCTCCTTTTTGGGGAGGTAGCAGTACTGGGTATCAAACCCTGAACCTTGTACATGCCAGTACCAGAGAGAAAAAAAAAAAAAAAAAAGTATCTTTGGTGAAACAATAAAAGTTGTGAATTTTGTTAATTCAGAATCCTTGAGTAACTCTGCCACTGAGTTCCATCCCCAGCAGCCCCTTCCTCTTAATATCATTATATCGAGGAGTCATTTTCAACACATGAATTTGGAGGGGACGCAAATATTCAAACCATAGCACATGTTCTTATTTGAAGAACCAGCATTTTAGTCTTTGGGCAGTAGACAACTCAGGAAAGGGTATAGTCAGCAGTTCAAATGCAATGAATGAAAAACAGTGGAAAGCATTTTTTAGTATCAAAATAAGCTTAAGATTATAAGAAAACTTTTTGCTTGATTTGACCCTAAATAAATGACATTCTTAACAATTATATTCTATTCTAGGTATCCTAAAGCAGTAAATGTTGTTTATACTGGTGATGTTAATGTCAGTGGTCAACAGATACTAGAAGGTGCTTTCAGAAGATTTAACATCAGGTTAACTTGCCCAGTGCAATTTGTTTTCTTAAAGAAACGCTACCTTGTGGAAGAGTCACAGTATCCTCACTTCACACTGCTTGGCCAAAGTCTAGGATCCATTTTTCTTGGCTGGGAAGCTCTGATGCAGTGTGTTCCTGATGTTTACATTGATTCAATGGGCTATGCCTTCACACTCCCTCTGTTTAAGTATATAGGGGGTTGCCGAGTTGGAAGCTATGTTCATTATCCCACTATCAGCACTGACATGCTCTCTGTAGTGAAGAATCAAAATGTTGGATTTAATAATGCAACCTTCATTACCAAGAATCCTTTTCTCAGCAAAGTAAAGCTGATCTACTACTATTTGTTTGCTTTTATTTATGGACTTGTTGGTTCTTGCAGTGATGTAGTCATGGTCAATTCTTCTTGGACACTAAACCATATTCTCTCACTGTGGAAGGTTGGGAATTGCACTAATATTGTTTATCCGCCTTGCGATGTGCAGACATTTCTGGATATTCCCTTACATGAGAAAAAAATGACCCCAGGACATATATTGGTTTCCATTGGCCAATTCAGGCCTGAAAAAAATCACCCTTTGCAAATCAAAGCTTTTGCAAAATTGCTGGATAAGAAAGTAGCTGAGTCACCTTCTTCACTTAAACTTGTCCTCATTGGAGGTTGTCGTAACAAAGATGATGAACTTAGAGTAAACCAACTGAGAAGACTGTCTGAGGATTTAGGAGTTCAAGAACATGTGGAATTTAAAATAAACATTCCATTTGATGAGTTAAAGAATTATTTGTCTGGAGCAACAATTGGTCTGCATACTATGTGGAATGAGCATTTTGGAATTGGTAAGTTTGTCTTTTAAACAACTTATTTGGTGCCACTTACTATGCAGGTAACTGTGTTGAGGTTTTTAGAAGTATGATCTAGTTTAATCTTCTCCAGAACCCTATTTGATAGGTATTATTATTATTCCTGTTTACAGATGAGGAAACCCAGGTGCAGAGGTTTAGAAACTGCTAAATTCAGTCACATAGGAAGTGGTAGGGCCTGGATTCTCACCCAGATAGCTACTGCTCTTTTCTTTCCCCATCTAAACTCACCTACCTACAGACTTCTAGACCCTACCCTAATCCTGTTAACAACCAAATTAGAAACTGGACAGGGCCCTCTGGACAGGTATTTCAATATAGCTGCCTGGTAATTCTGTTGTACATCAAAACCTTAGACCCTCTGTTTCCAGATGGATTCTCATAGTAATTCTTTGTGTCTTTTATTGATTCTACACTCATTATTGAAATGGCCTCTCCTCATTTGCTGCCATATCCCATCCTAAGTATTCCATTTAAATCTCCTTGCCCTTTATTGTTTCTTGTTTATTCTAGCACAGATTGCTACCTCTATGCTGACTTCATGTTAAGCACACCACTTGAGTGTAAGACCAAGTACTGCTTTGTGCCTAATTTGGTTTAGCATATTTTTTTCAAGTGCCTACCTTGTACCTCACAAAACTGTTAAGGGAAAAATAGGACAACATGCAAGTGAAGTTTCTTATACCAAAATCATAATTTAATTTTTTATACGTTGTTTTAAATCCCTAGTTAGTAGCACAATACTAAACTGAGAAATTCAGCAGGAACTTGTTGACATAACCTTATTCACAGGGTCTGGCTTCCTGTGCTTCCTTTCACTTATAATCTGTGCCAGGTATACTCTGGTGGGTGCTAAGAATATTACCAAAAAACACCTAACACACTCATAGGAGCAGAGAGAATGGTAGCCAAAAAAAAGTGCTGTGACACCCAAGCTGGGGCCTGGACAATAATTAGAAGTTGCGCAGCCCAAAGGGGAGCATATCCAGCAAAGGCAGCAACACTGCAACAAGAGTGACAGCAGGAGCATCACCAGGCACATTCAAGGGACTAAGAGTCCAACCTAGCCCAGCGTGAAGGGGACCCAGCAGGACAGCAGAGGTAATCTGGGCCAGGTCAAACCATTGGGAAAGGATTGAAGAATATTTTGTGGGGAGGAGGCAGTACTGGGGATGGGACTTAAGGCCTCATATGCTAGTTCAGTGCTCTACCACAAGCTCCCCAGCCCAGAATGGAAGCATTTCAAGTACCGCATTTAAAAGCTTCTGTTTCTTAAAGCCCACTATGGCTGCAGTGTGGGGAGTGTGGGAAGGATGAGGGCGAGCAGGAAGCTGAGCTGGGCTACCACAGCAACCCAGGCAGCGGGTCTGGCCATCTGAATTTGGTAGGCAAGCCTACTTGAGAGAGATTCTGAGGGAGTACTGGACTGGGTGGTTAGCTGAATATGTTAAATGAGGGAGCAGGCAGACTCAAATGACTTCCTGGGCTTGGGCAACTGTGGGGATGGTGTTGGCTTTCCCTGCAGGGAACCCAGGAGCAGGGCACTTGGTAAGCCAAGTCTCCAGTGGGTGGGGTTTGAGTCAGCTATGGGACATGTAAGTCCTTGTACCCTGTAGGTCATTGTAGATATGGGCCTGTAGGCAACGCGAGACCTGTGTGGAAGTGTGGAGTGAGGGGTCGTCCTTATCCAGGTGGTTATTGAAGCCTTGCAGATGTGGGTAAAGTGTGCAAGAAGAGCCTCTCAGCCAAGTGCTGTGAACAGGAGCAGTTAAGGAGTGGGCAGAAGAGGGGCCAACAAAAAGGAGAATATGAGTTGGGGGAAACAGGCAGAGTGCAATGCTTTGGAGCCCATGGAAGACAGTGTTTCAGGAAGAAGGGAAAGAGCAACAGAGTCCCATGCTGCCTAGATGCTGGGAAAGGTAAGAAAGTCATTGTGCACCTGGGACAGACTAGTTTCAGGGGAGAAGGGGAAGCAAAAGCCATATTGTGCTAAGTTGAGCATTAGTTAAAGGTGAGCAAGTGGAGTTCATGCAGACCACACTTCAGTTTATCTGTGAAGGAAGGTGAAAGAGATCAATAACTAGGGAAAATGTGTCTCAAGAACACTTTGTGTGCCTTCCCTGAGACCCAGGTGCTCATTCCTGACTCTGCTTCCGCCCTTATTTAACACATGCAGCTACCATCCTGTTTTTATGATTTCCAACTAACTTAAATGCTCATAGAGAAGGACCAGGAGAGCCAGATATGATGATGTATGCCTATAATTCCCGTGAGTGAGGCACAGCAACTTAGCAAGGTCCTAAACAACTTAATGAGACCCAGTCTCAAAAACTAAAAAAATGTTCTGGGAATGAAGTTCATTGAAAAGTACCCCGGGTTTGGATTTACTCCCCAGTACAAAGAAAAAGAGGAAGAGGTGGAAGATCATGAAGGGAAAGAGGTGAATTGATTAGATTTAGGTCTATGAGAAAGGGTGAAAGGAAGTTTGCTGCCCTTCAACAACCTATGAGGTGCTGAATGCCGCTCTGCAGGGACTTCACAGCTGTAGAAGAAGCAGTTAGAACGACTGAGCTTCTTTCCTGTGCACCTGGGATGATACCAGCTCTGTGCCATCCTTCAGGAGTGATCACTTAAATCATTTTCTGAAGGGCTTCTCTCCAAGAATATAGCTAAAAAACAGCTACCTGGGGTACTTTATACCCTCACCTGTATCATTTGGTAAACACTAACCACAGCTTCTGTTTCGTTCAAAACTGCTCTTAGGCACAGTAGTATCAAATACACCAGAAATTCAGGCATTAACATGAGCACTGGCAGCAATACGCATCACTGAGGTAGTTTACATTTTTCTATTTTCTGCTAGTAATGCAATTTGAACTCTTAAACTTTTGCTTTTGATATCGTTTCACTCCTTTTATCTTTCTGATACCTGCTAATATTCTACCATCTTGCTAACATTATTTAGACATTGTCTTGTGCAGTATACTTACTTTTTATAGAATATTTTTATAGATTTCTAACTCCTTACCTGTTTTAAGAATGAAGCAGCATTATTGTGAAGCTTTAAGAACTAAAAAATTTTAAATTTTTTTTTCTCTTTTTTTGGTACCAGGGATGGAACCCAGGAGCGCTTAACCACTGAGCCATGTCCCCAGCTCTTTTTGTATTTTATTTAGAGACAGGGTCTTGCTGAGTTGCTGAGGGCCTCGCTAAGTTGCTGAGGCTGGCTTTGAACTCACAATCCTCCTGGCTCAACTTCCCAAGCCACTAGAATTACAGGTGTGCATAACCGTGTCTGGTTAAATTATTTTATTTTGCACCATGGCAGTTAAATGATCAAATTTATAGACATATAGACATTTAATTAAATTTGTCATTGAGTCTCTTAAAATTTCTGAAGGTTTCCACTCATCATTGTTCTTACAAACACACTCTAAAACTTAAAAGATGGCTGAGTAGCATGGCAGCTACTCAGGAGGCTGAGGCAGGAGGATCATAAGTTCAAGACCAACCTGGGCAACTTGGCAAAACCCCTGTCTCAAAATAAAAAGGACTAAGGATGGCCTGGAGTTGTGGCTCAGTGGTAGAACACTCCCCTGGCATTTTTGAGGCACTGGGTTCAATCCTTAGCACCACATAAAAATAAATAAATAAATAAAAATAAAGGGATTGGGTCCATCTACAACTAAAAAAAAATATTTAAAAAAAAAAAAAAAAGGACTGGAGATGTAGCTCCGTGGTAGAGTGTTTGCCTAGTATGTGTGAGGTCCTGGATTCTATGCTGAGTACTGCAAAACCAACCAACCAACCTAAAAGAATGTGTGGTTTTTTTCCCTCCTCAGGAGTTGTGGAGTGTATGGCAGCTGGCACAATTATACTCGCACACAATTCAGGGGGCCCAAAGCTTGACATTGTCGTCCCTCATGAAGGAGATATAACTGGATTTCTGGCTGAGAGTGAAGAAGGCTATGCTGAAACCATGGCTCATATTCTTTCCCTGTCTGCTGAAAGGAGACTCCAAATCAGAAAAAATGCTCGTGAATCCATAAGGAGATTTTCTGATCAGGAGTTTGAAGTGACATTCCTATCATCTGTGGAGAAGCTATTTAAATAGTGCCACGTCTGTATAAATTAAAGATATTTTATATAAAATGGTTGGACTAGGGATGTAGCTCAGTGATAGAGCATAGTATATACAAGACTTTGGTTTCAGTCTCTAGCACCAAAAAATAACAAATACCTTCATAAGTAAATATTTTTCTAAACTCACTCCCTGTTGTAATAAAGTCAGCCTGAGCAGTGTTCTCAGCAATGTATATATAGACACAGTATTTATTTCAATGAAAAAGGCAAAATTACCGAAATGGAAAGGTAATCTTATATAGCTTTTTATAAAAATTTGAGATTAGTATTTGGTTGCAAATACTGAAAAATACAGATCTAAAAGAAAAAAGTTAAATAATATTTAATTCAGATGTAATCTATATCTTTTAAATTCAATTTTTCAAGTTAACAAACAGGAAAGAAAAACATTTAATGCTGGGAATTAAACATAGGGCAAGTGGTTTACCAAGGTACATTCCCACATCCCCAAAATTCTGGTACATTTAAATTCTAAGCAAATCATGCATGACCCTTTTAAATGCATCTAGTGATTTTCATAAAAGAAAAAATAGGTGGGCATGGTGGTACATACCTGTAATCCAAGTGACTTGGGAGGCTAAGGCAGGAGAATCCTAAGTTTAAGGCCAGCCTCAACAACTTAGCAAGCCCCAGGCAACTTAGACCCTGTCTCCAAAAAAAGGGGGCTGAGGATGTGGCTCAGTAGTTAAGCATCCCTGGGTCCAATCCCTAGTATCAAAAGAAACTTGAAGCAGGCTTATCTAATTATGTTCCCAAAGTATATAAAGTCAAGAGATTCCGGTGTATGTGGAAGCATGTGGGGATCAAGTTACTACTACCAGTATTTTCCATAACTAGGTTTTTGTGAAAGGTGCTTTTTGTTTAGTGCTGTGATAGCATATATCTCTGGGTGTCTCCTCATCTCTCAGCAGCTCCACATCTTAAGCTAAAAGTCAGCCCTGATTCATTCAAGAGAATATAAAGATAAGTTGTTTGTCTAGGCATGATGGTGTAATGCACAGAGCTGTTGACAGAGTGTCTATGATCAGCATCATGCATTGAAAGTGGCATTTTGAAAACAGGACTGGAGTAGCAGTTGTCATATCTGGGCCAGCTTCATCATGATGAAATGTAAATTCATCATCATTTACAGTGTATGGCCTCCTCCTACTAAAGCTGCACCTTAATCTTTCTGAGTCTCAGATTTTTAATCTATAATCTGGGTTTGTTAATACCTGTCCTCACTACCTTTTAGATTACCTTTTAGAGGTAGTGCCACTGATAGGGAATGAAACTTCTTTGAAAATTATAAAAGTTACTTTAAAGGCAAGAACCTATAGTAAATATATTTTATAATCTTGTCTTTTACTAGTGCATTATAATTGTATATAGATCCTTGGTTTCTATGCTGGTAGCTAGGAATTAATATAAATTTAATTTGACTTCTGTCCTGAATAACTAGCATGGAAAAGCAAATAAGTGTGCAGCTATAGCTATAAAGACCTACAACTATTGGCATTTTCTGCATATGTAATTCCTTCTAGTTCACTGAGTTGACCTTCCCTTTACAGTCTTTTTACATTTATGTTCGAATCATTTGAAAGAGGTATATTATTCCTTTGCAGTCTCAATTATTCATCTATCCACTTATTTTTTGCTGGGGTTATGTTGATTCATCCGCAGCCCATCTTGTTGTAGATTAAAAAGCAATAAAACTGTCCCAGATGCCACGCACCAACAGAACTTTTGTGGTGAAGGTGATTTAGTTTACAAAGAATGGAAATTGTAGTTGGGAAATTCCGCAAATTCTTCAGTCCAGCTTTCTCCTATTTTCAACTTCATAGACAAGAACAATTTAAATCTAAAAAACCTAATAGACTTCTTCAGTGTCACAAAGCTGTTTAATGACAGCATCAGTAATATCCTGGTGTTCCGACTTTCAACCCAATGCTTACCTTATAGTTAGTCTTTGAGGTAAGATTTTTGCTATTCCTCAGCCTATCCATCAAAATTATGGGACTAAAGATAAATTGAAATAAACAGAGCATAAGTAGAGGTTGGAGTGAAGGAAAAGAAGATTCTGGAATTCCTTAAACATTTTTAACCTTCAAAATGACTTTTATGTATCACAAACATAAAAAAATAATTATTTGCATATATGTTCATTTTCAGTTTTTCTAATGTGATATAGTATATGTTGGGTTTTTTGTTGTTGTTTGTTTTCTGAGTGACTTACTATGAAGTATCCAAATGGTATGTCTGTCTGGGGAACTTCTGGGTGATATTAATTCTTCTAAGACTTTCCTTCTGAGTGGCCCAAACATGCTGTTTTAAATCCACAGCAGTGGGGATTTACATTCCTATTTCCAGCTGTGCATTATAGAGCTTATGTTTCATAGTCTTTGTACCTAATTATGATTTAGATTAATAGATGCAAAATGTATTTGTATCTAAATATAACTTAAAGCAGTGATTTTTCACTCTCTTAGGTATTTTTCCCAATACAGTGCCTTTTATATCTTTCATGTAGTCTCCCAATTTAATTAGTATTGTTCCACACTCCAAGAAATTCCTTTTTTTTTTTTTTTTTTTGTACTGGGGATTGAACCCAGCACTTTACCACCACTGAGCTACATCCCTAGCCCTGTTACTGAGTTGCTGAGAGTCTTGCTAAGTTGCTGTGCCTGGCCTTGAACTTGCAGTCCTCCAGCCTCAGCCTTCTGAGCTGCTGGAACTACAGGCGTGCACCACTGCGCCTGGCCTAGACTTTGTTTTTAATAAATATTTCAGACATACCAAAAAACTGCAGAGCTTCATACACTTGAGGGGTTTTTTGTTTGTTTAGTTTGGTTTTGGTGCTGGGGATTTAACCCAAGCCCTGGTATATGCTAAGCACACACTTTACCACTGAGCTATACACCTAGCCTTCATATACTTTAATAATTTCCAGGGTATTTTACAGGGCAATCTTATAGGCAAAATTATGAGATAAAGTCCAGTATGTTTATCATTGCTTTCATAATATTTGTGTTTAATTATGTAAATGTACCCTAAACTCCAAGACTGAAATAGTGTGTCTGTGCCATGTCAATGAGTATGAAAGAAAAGTTACTTCTGTTGCATAACTACAAGCTATACAGGTGTCTAGAAGCTAATTGGTCTCTGTAATTTACCCCTCCTCTCCACTGCTCCTCTGCTAACTCTCTTTTCCCATCTTAGAAAAATGGATTAGCATCAGTTCCAATATCTTAGTGATCTGTGCTCACATGGACTACATGTGAAAGTTACAAGGCACTTAGAAGAGAGGTCGCAGGACCTAGAGACATGACTGGATAAAGAAAATGTGGTATATATACACACAATGGAGTATTACTCAGCGGTAAAGAAGAATGAAATTATGGCATCTTCATGTAAATGGATGAAACTGGAGACTGTCATGTTCAGTGAAATAAGCCAGTCCCAAAAAAACCAAAGGCCAGATGTTCTCTCTTTTGTGTGGATGCTAAGGCATTGGGTAGGGGTATAGAAGTTTATTGGATTAGACATTAGAATGAAGGGATGGGAATAAGAAAAACAGTAGAATGAATTGGACTTAACTTTTCCTGTGTTCATTTTTGAGTATATGACCAGTGAAACTCTACATCACATACAACCACAAGAATGGGAAGTTATACTCCATGTATGTATATACGTAAAAATACACTCTACTGTCATACATAAAAAGAACAAATTTTCTAAAAAAGAGAAGGGAAGTTGCAGGGTTTATGTACTTATTGGCACCATTTAAAGGATAATTGATTTGATGACTATCATACATAGCTAACAAAAGCTGATTTTCCTAATAAAATGTATTCTAAAACAAGCAGATGCAGGTCTGATCAAACAGTTTCTGTTCAGTAGCTGGAGCCAAGCCTAAAATCAAGAGCAAAGTCCATCACAATGTAGGGAATGTGTTTAAATGGTAAGGTGAATTAGGGGCTGAAACAGGTTGAAAACCCTTGCCGATAATATGTATTTACCCCAATGAATACTTGCAGTGTGTGTGTATATATATACACACTGATATGCTTATTCTTAAACTTTTTTCTTTCTTCTGCCTTTCATTGACTTGGTCTTTGGATTTTTAGGAATCATTTTGCTTCTGATGCTTTCACATTCCATTCAAAATTGGGGTTACATGCAGACTCTCGCAGATTTACTATATCTGAACTAGACATGTCTTGAAAGTAAATAAACATGTATGGTAACCACTAGCAGAGCTGTAGAATTAATGATGCTCCAATCTCTCAGGACCACTTGTTACCCAGTTTGAAATAAACATAATGTTGAGAACTTTTTAATTTCAGCTTCCTGATGTACACATACTAAGCACCTCCCTAAAAAGTAGAATTAAATTGTACAGAGTTGAAAGAACAGTCCCTCAAATATCACCAGGAACTAAACACTGGACATATCCCAGGTGGGTGACTCCTGATACTTGCATTCCCCACATTTAGTGAAAAATAGACAAATGCAAATACTAAACAGATCTTAGAAATAATCTGAAAAAAACTTCCTCATCTTTTCTTTCTTGGTCCAACAATATATCAACCAATGCACCATTTTAGTTTTAGTATAGAGCAGATATTTCAGATGGAATTCTAAAAATCCCTAGCCATCTTATCCATTCTTCAGCAGATGTATATCTAGTATTTAAATTAACAAATATCTAATTCTAGGGACATGTTCAACACTGGAATTAATATGATACAATTTCCAGTTTCCTGCCTCAAAGAGTTTACAGTTTTAACAAGAAATGTATTAGCAGTTATTTATTCATTCAAGAAACATGTATGTACTAGGGCTAAGAATTTTATACAAAAAAGACCATGCCAAGCACAGTGGCACACACCTGTAATCCCAGTGCTCGGGAGGCTTGAGACCAGAGGATCACAAGTTTGAGGCCAGCCTCAATTTAGCAAGACCTGTCTCAAAATTTTTAAAAGGGTTTGGGAATGTAGCTCAGTAGGAGAGCACACACTTGAAGTTTATAACCTATACACTTAAAACTACTAAAAACTCTTAATAAAAGTTATTTAGTATATAATTAATAGAACATGTATTTTTCCTCTTGTTCACTGAGAGAAAACCAACATAGTAAGAATTACATTAGAATTTAATTCCCTCTGCCACCTCAATTTCCCTTTGCCAGGTAACAACATACTCACAAATTCCAGAGACAAGGACGTGAGTGACGTCTTCTAGAGGAGGGTGTTGAGCTGCATTATTCTGCCTAGCACATACATTATCTTAAATATTTCTTAATAGAAATTTTAAAGTAAAGGTATTAATACAAAGTTCTATTATCTAAATTTAAATAAAAGTAAGTGCTTGGGATAACTGGAAAACTCTTAACAAATAAATGAATATTTTTTATTTGCACCCAAACAGATACTACAGTAAATAGATGCTAATTTACTATTTAAGAAAAAGGCCATCAGTCCCCAACAGCACAAAAAAGAAAAAAGAAAGAAAAAGTACAATAATCACACTTGTATATTTTGACTGGCTGTTGATGTTCCTTTGTCTTCATCAATAATACAAATTCGGTCATTAGATGGGACTAGAAACAGCCTCCAAACCTTCATTTAATTCTTCAGATTTCAGCATGCTAATCCTTTCTCTTTCTCCTGGTTTTTCAACATCCTTAAAGGAACTGGAAACCTCTTCCCTTTTTACTTCTTTGGAAGTAGTGAGTTTTTCTAGGGATTCTACTACTTCGTTTCTCAACTCATCTTCAGACTCTTCAAAATTTCTGAAATAATAAATAGTAAAATAAAACAAATCAACATTGTGTTATGAAAGCACTAATATGAAAACTAGTTTCCCAGGGCTGAGGTTGTGGCTCAGCAGTAGAACGCTTGCCCAGCACATGCAAGGCCCTGGGTTCCATCCTCAGCACCACATAAAAATAAATAAAAATAAAGATTAAGGAAAAAAAACTAGTTTCCCTTTTCATTGCCTACTCCAAATTGAATAATATGAAAGTTGCATTTCGCCCAGGTAATAAATTACTTATTGTATCAGTTTGGATTTCGTAAGGGTGACTACCAATCAACATCTGGAGAACTAGTCCTCTGGTGGATTTGCATTCAGTAACCATTACTGTATCTATTAGTATCTACCACAACTATGATGAAGAGGAGAGGAAGAGAAAGAAACAACACAAAATAAAACTTCTGCCACATATTAGTTCCTGGTACACATATGCCAGTCCCTGACCTTGGGAATTATCACACACTACATTTCATTTAAATACTAATAGCTTAAGGTAGACATTCTTATCAAATTATAGATAAGAAGTTGGGGCTTGGGAGAGGTTGAAAAACATGCACAGGGTTTCAGCATCATCTTATGACACTAGGCTAAGAATTTTATATAAAAAGGCCATCATAGGATATAAAGAGCATGCCCGGCATGGTGGCACACACCTATAAACCCAGTGACTAAGAGGCTGAGGCAGGAGGATCGAAAGTTCAAGGCCAGCCTCAGCACTTAGCAATACCCCCATCCCAAAATAAAGATTTTTAAAAGGACATGGGAATGTAGCTCATTCAGAGGCACCACAGTCACTCACTACACAACGTCTCTGTCAATGATGGATGGCATGTGCAACAGTGGTCCCACGAGATAGAGTGGAGCTGAGAAATTCCTATGGCCTCGGGATGACTCAATCACGTTACTCACGTGTCTGTGGTGAGGCTGGTGTATATACTTACTGCAAAAAGTGCGACATATAATACTTAATAATGATATAAAACTATATATGTGATATAATGATATAATAATCTTGTTAATACTTGATACTGACAAGTAATTACGCTACTGGGTTATGAATTTACTATACTTTTTATCATATATCATTTAATGTGTTCCCCTACTTTTAAAAGAAAGTTTAACACAGTGTGCTGTGTAACCCTGTCAGTAGCCTTATATATCTCTTGTTTACTGCATCTCTTGATGGCATCAAGGGGCCAGGTAAAGTAACTTCAAGTGACCTTCACCGACCTTCACCCCAGGGTTGTGTAACTGCACTTCATCATGTTTGCACAAAGATGAAATCGCCCAACAGCACGTATTTCCCAGAGCTGCCCGTCAGTAAGTGACCCATGACTGTAGTCAACAGAGCCAGGAATTGAAATTGTGTGGAAGACTGCAACACCAATGTTTTTAGAAAGGGAAGGAATAGGAGACCAAGAAAATAGCCTTGAAGAATGCTAATATTTCAGCAGCAGGTGAAGGAGACAGAGCTGGGAAGAGCCAAGAATAAGAGTAAGGAAGCCAAGGGGAAGCCAGAGGAGATGAGGGTTGAGAAATGATGTCCTGCCTGGGTGATATGGTAACAGACCACCTCTGAGAGCATATTCCAGAACAGTGCCAGGCAGCAGGGGCCAATGTACAATGGACTGAGAAAGCAATGGGACAAGAAGGTGGTGACAATGAGCAGGAAAGAAGGGAAGCAGGACTCATGTGAATACAGAGAAGTTCCAGAGCTGGGAAACTGGTGACTCCACCTACAAACCACACAGTGTCTTGTGAAGTCTGTATCAGGCACTGTCACAGGATGAGAGCAGGATGGTCCAGGAGTGGGCGTGCACACTAGCTGTGCCACAGGGAAGGACACTGACCAGGCAAGGGATTGTGAGGCATCGCAAAGGACTCCACTGAAATCAGAGACCACAAATTTGACATGGATCCTTAAGTAAGGAGGGATCCATAAATTTGACAGCTCCCACTTATTATCATCCTGAGGTATATGATTTACAGAAGATTTTCCCTTTGTCTTCATTCCTTTATAATTTAAAGTGTGAAGAATCTAGGTATGGGTTTCTTTTCATCATTACTGCTTGGTAATTGTTTTATTTCCCATATCTGATGATTCATGGTGCTCAATGACAATGAAAAGTGAGGCTGGGGTGTACTCAGTGAAGAACTTGCTTAGGATGTGTGAGGCCCTAGGTTCAATCCCCAGCTCTGCAAAAATAAAATCATGTAATCAAATAAAATTGTAAAAAAGTTCACAGGGGAGATCCAACATGGCGGCGGGCGGGGAAGCAGCGCTTTCAATACCTCCTCAGTAACGGGTCAGAGAAACGCATCGATACGCTTGCTGAGAGGCTCCTGGCGAAATTCCACTGAAGAGAGACCGGCCGGCAATTGGTAGGATTTTGGGAAGTGACAGTCTGCCCCAGACGAGTGAATCTCCGCCACGCAGCGCAGCGCAGAGGTCCGGACTCGCCAGCCGCTGCCCGCACGACTCAACTCGGCGACCGCCCGCCCGCCGGCGACCGCCCAGCAGGTGCGGTGCAGAGACTCTAGGAAGAGGTCTCTAGCCAGGCCTTCATGAAGTAGCGAACTGGGAGCTGAAACCAACCAGAGACAGACCAGTCCCACCCCTCCCTTCGGACACTCCGACAAGGAGCCTGGGGCCCACCATAGCAGAGAGGTGATGTCACCGGAGTTTGGCTGACGGAATTCCTTCCCAGCAAAATCCACTTTAGCAGGTGTGTGACTCCAACCCCATCCAGATACAAGCAGCCAGGAAACCGCGGGAATCTCCCTGGGGGGCGTGTCTGTAGGGAAGCAGAGGGGATTCCCAATCCCCAACTCCCCTTAACACCAGCTGCGACACCCAAGGTCTTAGCCGCCAGTATCCGGGGGCATGCCCACCAAAGGGGTCCAGAAAAATTAAAACTGTTGGTCCCCAGATCACCGCACCACAGCACTGGGGCTTAGATGAATGACGGAGAGAGCGCTCAGTCGTTCGGGAAATAGGACACACAGTGGGGCTGCAAGTGTAACCAGATCTTTGGGGAACCGCCTCTGGTGAACAGGACCTGGCTGGCTGGCTGGCAGGAGTAAGGGGGGGAGGGGCCGGAGAAGTGAAACAGCTCTGGACTAACAGGACTGAGAGACTCCCAGGAGCCGCCTTACAGGGCTTGCTATAGACGCGTAGAGGGCAGAAGCTCGGCTCGGAGGGCACAGCTCCGCCTACTGGAAGAGAAGAAAATGGATCTCTAAGACTTCAATTTTTTTTTTCTTCTTCTCTCTCTGTTCCTTTCTCCCCTTTTCCTTCTTTCTTTCTTTCCCATTTCAAGTTTTGTTGTTCTTTTCATTCTCCTCTAATCTATCTCTCTCTCCTTCTTTCTTTTTAAGAGCACCTTCCTTCCCCTACCCCCCAACTCTCATCCCAAGCATTACGTCTTCCATTACGTGTAATTGTCTAAATGCAAATAGGTGAATGTTTCGATGCTGTCTATAGGGCTCCTAAATACCTAGCTACTACCAACACCCTGATCCAATCACCTGTTTGTATCCCCCTTCAGTAGAGCAATCTTCTAAAGTAGCCAAGACATACTAACCCTAATACCATCATAGCACCTAACCTAAACATAAAGTCCTAAGAACAAACAACAGATCACTATATGCATACAAGATCCAGAAGCCTTTTATGAATCAGCTTTAAAGTACAATAAAGCCCAACATTTCTAGGCATAATCTCCCACCACAAAGGAGAGACAACAGAGATATACAAAACCAAAACAAATTTATAGGAGAAAGCAGTTACACAGCAGTCAAACAGAGCTGGAAAGTAACGTGAACAACATGAAAAAACAAGGGAAAAAAGGATTACAAACAATGCAGGACAACTTAAATCTACAGAAGGAACTAGAAGCATCAGAAACATGGACACGGAAAGAACTCAAGGCATACCTAACTCAGATGGAACGGAATATTAGAGAAGATATGAGACAGCAAGTCCAAGCAATGAAAGTATATTTTGAAAACGAATTAAACAAACAAATTCAAACTGCAAAGAACGAGCTTTACCAGGAGATAGAGATTTAAAAAAAAAAACCAAACAGTAATCCTAGAAATGCAGGAAACTATAAACCAAATTAAAAACTCTAACAAGAATATTACAAATAGACTAGATCAAGTAGAAGTCAGAACATCAGATAATGAAGACAAAGTTTATCAACTTGAAAAGAATATAGTCAACACAGAAAGGATGCTTAAATCTCACGAGCAATCTATCCAAGAGTTATGGGATGTCATAAAAAAACCAAACTTGAGAGTCATTGGGATAGAAGAAGGTATTGAAAGGTTAAAATGTAAAGGATAAGATTTGTTTTAAGTTCTGTTAAGTTTCAATTTCTTTAAGTTCTGTTTTCCTGGGACCTGAAATTTATGGAGGGGTCAAAACAACTCCCGGAGAGACCAGTAAATGTATGTTGAGAAATCTCTTCTGACCATCTGGTCACTCTGTAAAAACAACCCCTCCCAGAGACCATGCAGCTCAGCACATACACACCTCAGGGCTTAACCCAACCAGTTCAAATATATACCCCTTTGTTTGTGCTGACCAATCACCCCTACCCAACTTGTTCCCGCCAGTGAATGTGCTAATCATGTTTTAGAGTTGTTATTTGATTTTCCCGTGGTATGTGATGATTTGCTAAGGGATGCTGTGATGTATGTAAAGTCCCTGCCCTCTCCAAAGAATGTATATAAGCTCTGCTTAAGTTGTTCTCGGGGCTCTCTGCCCCATTCAAGTAAGCTCTGAGCCCCAGCATGCTGGACCCCCAATAAACCCTCTGCTGTTGCATGAGACAGTCTCTTGGTGGTCTCTTCCTCCGAAGCTCGCCCAATCTTAACAGTATAGAGGTTCAAACCAAAGGAATGGACAACCTATTAAATGAAATAATCCTAGAAAATGTCCCAGAGATGAAAGATGGAATGGATTGCCAAATC